GATGAAATCACTGCATGCAACATGTCAGATATAGCTGAAGTCACACCCATTTATTTCCTTTGTGCTTAGACTTTAAAAAAATTCGGCATCAAGATGAAAATAGGATTCAAAGGCTGAGAAGGAAGCTTGAATAATATTTGACTCTTAAACCTGTGTGTAACTGTGTACCAAGGTAAATTCTTTTTCCTCAGATTCTGTTACCATCATTGTTTTTTTCCAATCCAAGACTCAACAAATTTGATTGGTATGACCTAAACCTTTTTAGCATGTGCAGAGATTACTTCATGCTTCACAATACACAACTAAATTTCCTACATTGATGTGCCTACTTCATGCTGGAAGACCATTGCTCAGGCCATGACTACAAGGTGCACTCACTGCTCAGTCATAAACTACCACCAGTACTTCCTCCAGTGATAAGGAGGGTTGACCCAATTTCCTTGGAACGTGAGCGTTCCAATCAGCCATTCATCTGAGGAGTTACAGTTGCAAATGGATTTCTTGGGTCCTTTATCTGTAGTCCAATATCTATCACTAGTGACATCTCAGTTTCCTCTCTCCATCTCAGTTACAAAAACCTTGTTGCACTAATGCCAGTCCAGGGCCACCTTAAGTCAACTACATGTACATGTACTTAATGTATAAATGTGGAATACATGTAACTGTGTTTGATGCAAGACTGTAATATATTTTCTATATCCAGTTTTTACTATCGCTACTCAAGTACATGTACATGTATGTTGTTGAGGTAAAGTAGATAGGGGTTTTTGTAAAGTTCCAAAATTTAATGGCTAGATTATATATAGAAGCCACACAGCAATCATACGTTGGCCTTAATTTGGTCCATTTGTCCTTGTCTTTGGTCCCATGTTTATTGGAAAGGACACCTGCATTTAGTAATAATGAATACTTGGTAGTTTGTAGAGGGATGCCAGTCATATCCAATACCAAGTGGGATCCAATATCTAGTTTACAAAGATAAGATAGCGTGGCGATCTACATTGTACACGTGTCAGCCAATAGAAAAGGCATTCCTGTTACCTACATAATCACATAACCCAAAAAACATTGCAAAGACCAACCCTAACATTATCCTTCAATCCCTTGACCTTGCCCTCCTTACATTGCTCAAGCTGAAGGTCGCAATGCTCTATTTACCAGCAAGAAAATAATACTCGTAAGGGTTAATGGTTTTCTTGGGTCATCCTATTCTTTTTCATACACGACCAATACATGCTCACATTGACTCTTCCCCATAGAGCTAGAGCACCTCTCCCCATCTGTGTGGTTATTGATTCTAGTCAGGACCACAGCTATGCAGAGATAACAGCAGACAGAATCTGCAGCTGAGACTTGAAAATGATGGCCAGGTTTTGGAGGGGGTTTCAGCTGGAGAGAGCTACAGTTTGTACGTGAAGATGAATGGAAATGGAAACACAGCAAACAGTTGACTGAAGCTTGATATAAAATTTGCTACATAACTGCTGAAGGTATCTGAGGAAGAATGCTATTATAACTTTAAGGTTCTACTCATCGACATGTGATGTGTTCCTGTCTCTGACTTTGAGCGATCTTTCTTTTGTAGGATTCACAGCAAAATGCTGCTATAGTGTCACACCTAAGGATGACAAGCAGATGATATATACTCAATACAGTTGTTTGATCTAAAGTCTACAACTCTAGATGATAGATCTGCCTTTTGGTGGAATCTGAATACTAGTACCTGTGACACAAGTGTGAATGCCATAGACCTTAGGTCC